GCAAATGGGACATTTTAAAGTATCCTGAATGGCTTACAATTAAGTTATACAAAACTTTGAAAGCTGCTTGAACTCCTGGGTTTTGAAAGGTGACACTGCAATTGACAGCCAGTCACCAGTAGTACTTTAACAGAGACCAGGCCAAGCAAGTCCAGTGACAGTCTGCATGTGCAGTTTCTAAGAGCTGTCTGGTCAGCTCAGCCATATCAAAGTGCCCATGTGCTGTCTTAGTGAAATGCCACCTATCATGTGTTCTGGCCATTTTCGAAGTGGCTCCCAGCTACAGTGGCCTCATCAGAAATACTTCCAGAAACACTTCCAGTGCCATTCCAGCAGCCAAGAGGGGAGCCAGTCTCACGAAGTACTTTCACTAGATACTACATGAGTGATCAAAGGATTGAGACCTAGATGTGCCATCAGTGAAATTTACCCCCAGAGGGAGCAGCCATCAGTCCCTGCTTGCAGAGAGCAGCAGCAATGGTATCCAGGCTTCTATGCAACCAGGAAGGAATCCTTGCAGGCCCTCAGTGTAATTGTCTTGTGGCAGACCCTATGCTAAAGGACCTTTTTAAGGTTCCTTAGTGTCGTGTCATATTTGTGGTTGTGCTGTTTGAGTCTCACTGATTGGATTTTCACCATAATTGCACCTCAATCCCAGGGGACCAGCCTTAGGTGAATAACTTAGGCATTTAATTTATAATGAAGATAAACTTTGCAATCAGCATTTCTTGTTCCAAAACATTCCATTTACTTGGTTTTAGAGCTGCATAAACTGTTTTAAAGGCAATCTGCTCAATTGGGCAAGTTAATGATATTTAATGTGACCGGGCCAAACGTCACTGGATGTGCCTCCTGTCTGTAATCGCAGCTATCATCAGCACCGTCTTGGGTAATGTACATGCAATGCTAATCCTGAGAATAAAGGTTGTCATTCTCGGTTGACTGCCAGCGTGCACCAGAGTCATAACCTCACTAAGTCTCTCAGCGATGTGATTCCGAGATGACAGTGTAATAAGTGTTATGTGCGCAAGGTAATTCAAAACAAATTTGGCTGCAAAAATGGATCGTCTAGTATAGTAAACTCCCGCCTTGTCGCATCGTCTTTTAAGAGGATGGAATGATCCCTAAAATACCTTGTCAAGAAGCTTGTGTGGCAGGGGTCAAGTCCTGTAAATTTATCTGTTACATGTCCCCACACCCTCCCACCCTGAGAATCCCAAGTCAAGGACTGAAAAATCTCCATGCTATACATTGGTAGCCTGGGAACCAGGATGGGCAGGAGTTTGAAGGCTTTAGGTAAACAAGTCTCTCTCAAGCTCACATCATGAAGCTTGAGTTTGCTGTTTTGATTTCTAGATTGTTTTCTCCTGGAAATTGTAGCCACTGTGGTATTGGCGCTCCCTGGGCACTGGTAGCTATCTTTTTACATTTTTATCACTGCCATATTATGTACTATATCTACTATAGTTAGATACAGGTTATCTCATTTAAGCTTTGCAATAATGCTAAAAACATCACACTATATTTTATAGATGAGGAATCAGAGACAATAAATTGCCCAAAGCCAGGATTCCACCTCTGGTCTAATCCCAAAGTTACCATCTCTGACCTGTAAAAAAGGACATTGCCAGACTTGTGGAGAGATACATGGCAACTGTGTTTGATGGAAAAGTACATGGCACAGGGCCCCTGAAATGATTCCCCTGGGCACAGTTGTCTAAAATGTCTTTCTGTGGAACCCAGTCACAGCACTGGTGATATGCTTGTGGGGCCTGAAAGGGTATTTCTCAGATTCCCGAAGTTCTGGGCCTCCCTCTGGGGTCTTTAGGCAGGAGACATGCTCCCAGGTGTTCCTGGACAGATGCAGAAGACCATCTGCTTTTTGTCATTGAGTGGCTTGAAGCCCAAGGGAATTCTTGGTCCCCTGGCCTAGAAGTCCTCCTAGCCTAGACTGATCCCAGTGGGTCCTTCCTGCATGGTTTTCTAGGAATCATTTAAATATCCATAAAGTAGGTCTAGCCCAATCTTAGAAGATCTCCAAAAGTAAGGCAGCAGTTGCCCCCACTGTTCTGCAGACATGAACTGACGAACATGCACCTCTGGTCAGTAGGCATTTTCAAGTAGTTCTTTTTATAGGTAGAATATCTTCAGGAACAACTGAAAGATCTATCTGTGCCTGATAGGTTGTTTTAGACTGTGAGCAGATAAGATCCAAATCAAATGGCTTAAAGTACACAGAACGTGTTATTAAATATGACAAGAAGCCTTGCACATAGGAGGTTCTAAGACTCATTAGTTCATTTGCTCAATGATGTCACCAGAGGACTGAATGGTCCCACTTCTCTGCTTCACCATACTCAGTATATTAACATGGCCTCTGACCTTAGTTCCCCACCTCGTCCCAAGATGTTGCTACAAATCTAAGAAACACATGCAAGTGACTTGCCCCTAGTGGACTTCCTATTTTAACAATGAACAAAACCTCAAGCTCCCTAGCAGATTCCCCCTCCATCCGATCAGCCAGAATGACATCACACACCCATATCTAAATCCATCACTAGGCAAAAGGAACAAGACACCAGGAGAGACTGACACCAATCAAAATCCACATCTTGGGGCTCCCCCAGAGGGTAGGATCTCTGATCTGTTGGAAAGGATACAAGGGAGAGCTCTCTCAGCAGAGAGAAAGCACAGGGAAGCTTGTTGGCCAGGCAGCTAACACTGCCTGCCTGTGGTATAGGCAAGACTTAATTGTGTGTGTGCAAGTAAAGCCTCCTGGGGTCTAATTCCCCTTCTTCTATTCACTTAGCTTTTGTGTCTTTTGAGAAGACGAATATGCCAAAGAGGAAAAACCAGTATCGGAACCCCAGTAATGACACTCCATGTTCATTCCCTTGTAGCACAAGGTCCAGTATTTATCTGTAGACAGAGATTGCACAGATTTTGCAGGGCCCACTCACAAATCTTAATGTCTGAGTTTCCTGTGTAAACTAACTTTGGTGCATGCCATCTCCAGTGAAGAGCAAGAGCTGAAGACCACTGTGACTGGTTAACACTGGCCACACCCACAGCTTCTAGGCTGCTACACCTGACATTCATATTTATTATTGCACTGGAAATTCCTAGGAGACAGGTTTAGCCTTCCTGATTCTTAAATATGAAATGGTCTGAAATTCAAAGTTCATTGAGAGCTATAGCTCAAAATTCCACATTTTGAATTCAGATTTGTCATTTTGGATGCACAGCCAGTAAAGTCTTAGGCAAATATTTCAAAAAGGGAGGAGGGGCAGGAAGGGGAAGAGGAAAGGGAAAGGAAGAAAGAAACTCTTAAGCTCTTCTGACCTAGCATTTTGAATAACTGATGTGCAAGTATTTGACTCCTGGTGTCACATATTTAAAAAGACCTGACTCTTATCATTCCTCCCTGGCATGAATTTCCAAGCTGTTTTTCATCCTTCTTCCCAACTCCCAGCTCAAATCCTCAGCATTCTGGATATTAAGCTGGGAAGGAACCATAATAGGCATCTGCTTTGACAATCCAGAAAGAATTCCTCTGTGTCCTTTTATTCTTTGCTCAAAAGAGAAGGCATGGAGACAAGGTGTAGATTAAACCTAGACATTCCCAGTTCTCCAGAGTGGGGGATTTAAGTTTGGTATGCAGTCATTCCCATATTTAACAATGCACTAGAGTCCTTTTGTAACCCAGAGTTCTTGTTCTGCTTAAGTGGATTGAATTCAAACCATTAATAACCTTGGCATGATTCATTTGGGCTTCATGATGGGGTAAGGGATAGATGTCAGATTCATTCCCTAACAGTTGTTTACAGTGCACTCCAACCTAGCAGTTGTCCTTCTGTTGAGTCAGAGTAAAAAGGTTTAGAAGGAAAAACAGCTGTCTGATCAATACTTGTTCTGTGTGGACAAAGAGAAATCACACTGCCCTCACTTAGATCACGGGGCTAATTGTCAGCATGCTGTGAAGGCCAAGATACTAAGAGAGAAGCTAGTATGCAGGACCAGTTGGAAGAGGCTATAGTTCCAGGCTCATTTTGACATTTGTAAGACAATGCTGAAACATGTATATTGAAAAAATACACTGTTAGTCTAAGAGATTTAAACTCAGGAAGCAAGTATAATGAGTCAGTGTAATCCTCCACAGAAGATCTGAGAAGTTCACAAACTTCTGCCACCATATTCTATGAAACACCATTCATATGCCATCATTATATATTTGATCTTATTAGGTAACCAACCATTTGGGAAATAATATTAAAATATTTTGGACCCTGATAAGATGTCACCAAATTATCTGTGCTACCTGAAAAAAATTTCTTTGTTTTAGAGGGGAGGTGGAGGGAGACAGTAAATGAAATGGATGGATTTCCATGTCGCTTGGAATGACTTTGCTCTCTACAAATAAGATTCTAGTTTATTTTATATAGTATTCGCTGTCCTGAAGACAGGGTTGTGTTGCACTGGTGTTGATGGTACCACTGGGAGAACTCTGGACATAGCATCCATGATTCCCATCCACCAGGAACTAGCCATGTTTTTACATGTGGTTTATCGGAAATTGGTCAACATATTTTGGGTCCTTCCTATGACAATGAAGAGAGATATCCTCATCTAAGTCATGCAGTAGATTGTAGGCACTCAATAAGTATAAACATTGGGGATTGGGGCTGCAGCACTGTACACAGTGGGAAACAACACAGCAATTAAGCTAGCTGTTGTCTTCCCAGCTCTTGCTCACTGGAATTTCCTTGTGATATTTGGCATCTCCACCTATGGCCTATGCGCTCATCTACTTAATATTTTCAGTGGACTTTTTAAGGAAAAGCAAACCAGTGACTTTTAAAAGGAAGCCTAGTATCACCTGACAGAAACTAGAAAAATACACACCATGAAAACTGAAGACTGTAATTAATTTCTAGTTAGCTATCACTGCCTGATGAAGGCTTGGAGCCTGAGGCTGCTCTTTTCTTTCACGGGGAAGATTAGCAAATGATGAAATTGCATTAAAGACATTCTGTAGGAAGCCCAGGCATCCCTGCTGTGAGATTTATTATTTAACACCAGATCTACACACCTCCCATCTTGCCCCTTTCCCACCAGACATTCTTTGAGAAATCAGAACAGAGAGAATAGAAGTTCTCTGACATTCCCAGTGTGCTGGCTTCACCCAAAAGCTCTCCAACAACACATTGATCTTTCCAGTTTCTGCTTTATGATAACCTTGTCCCACCCTCAATATTTCTCAACAGGTCAACGGCAAAGACTTATCCAGAGCAACTCATGACCAGGCTGTGGAAGCTTTCAAGACAGCCAAAGAGCCCATCGTGGTACAGGTGTTGAGGCGGACACCTCGGACCAAAATGTTCACCCCTCCCACAGAGTCACAGCTGGTGGACACAGGCACTCAAACTGACATCACCTTTGAACACATCATGGCCCTGACGAAGATGTCCTCTCCGAGCCCACCTGTCCTGGACCCCTACCTGCTGCCAGAGGAGTAAGTAACCCAATCATGGCTCACAAACTGCTGAGTATGGTAAAGTTGACTTCATCCCTTCCACGTGGAAAAAGAAATTAATGCATCTTATAATTTTCCTCCAAGTTGCCCGTGTTTAACTTTATTGTTTATAGAGGCAATAAATCGAACCCTGCTCAAAAGCGCTCTGACATATTAATGACTTTATTATAACCCTGGAGCGGAGTTATTCAAATTATATTCTAAGAACCAAACTACTTACAAATGTTGTAAAAGTTGTCTCAGAATAAAATTTAATCGCTGCAAATGGTAATTTGAAAATTTTGTAGTTATCATGGGAGGGAATATTGGTTGCTTTCTTAAATAGACAACAAAGGAAGTTGTGAGGACAAAGAGAACCCTGCAGGTTATGCCTTCTGCTTCCTTGAGTCTCATTTCAAACCTACAGCCAGTCATCAAGCCCACGTGTGCCCCCTCTCAGTACAGCATCTACCAATTAAGTAACAGCTGCTATTCAACATACCTCAGTTTTTTCCCACTTTATTCTTACTTTCAGAAACAGTTCAGACCTTTGCATCAAACAAACCTGATGGTCAAACTAATTTCTGACTGTGGAAATTGAATAATTTATTTCCCTACGCTTTATTTTTCCTATCTTGTATTAAAACAGGAATAAAATTCATATTGATCTCATAGGATTGCTGAAGGATTAAATGAAATAATGTGTGGGAATTTTGTGACATGAAATATGGTAAACAATAAGTGGGAGTTATGGGTGCTAATTTTGTGACTCACATAAAATATTCAGGAAAATAGGAAGAGTCAGAAACTTTTTGAGTTAGATTGCTGGCTTAAAGATGTCCAGTTAAATATAGCTTTTTCCATGTGACTCTGGACTCCTTAGCTGATGTGAGGCACCCATTTCTTCCCAGCTTGACTCCATCTGGGTTTGGATAATTGACGCAATGCCTAATTTCAAAGGACACTTTTCCCTCTTGCAGGGAAAATCTCTGAGCGATACCTGTTGGATTTCTATTAGCAACTCAGTAGCTGGAGCAAGCACACATTTCCTGTGGTTGTGTCAAATTGCAGCCAAAGGCTTGCCTTTTATGGCTCATGTTTAGTGGCTTGCTGTCAGTGGCACCCAGCACTAATTCCCCAGCCTTGACCAAAATGAGTTCCGCTGCAGCTGACAGCTTGTAAAGAGAGAGGACATGAAGAGCTCGCTCGTTTCTCACAGTTGTCCTTTTGCATGGATGGGCCCTGCAGACTCACCAGGTTCTATTCAGTGTAAGGTGGCAGTGCCAGATAGAAAGCAGGACTTGTTGGACCTCAAGTCCTAGCTCTTAGCCATGACACTCTGTAGTGTGCCAGCTGGTCCATTCCCTAAGCATGGCCATTCAAACTAGGTGACGGTCCAGACCAGAATGGCCTCACATTATTGATGAGGCCTTTAAGGCCACTTGCGACTCTCAGATGTTGAACTGTCATGGTGATAGGCCTTTTAGACACCAAACCTCTAATTTCCTCTTAAGTCTAGTTAACATGACATGACTTATTCCCCAGAGGTGACTAGCAAAATGTCAGAAGAATCCAGAGGTCAGGCCTCTCCGGTTCTGGCCATGAGGTCAGACAGCAGCAAGAGCATTGCATCAGGATGGAGCACAAGGTATTGAGTTGACGCCTAAGAGCTCCTTAAGTGCAGGCAACATATTTGCCCAACGGGTCTGGAAAATTGAAAGCCAGTCCTTGTTTGAATGGCCACTCATGTCTGATCTGTTGTTTCAAAATTAATTGTCTGACCTTCAAGAATGCAGAGGTCTGGCTCCCTAGCCAACAGCAGACCCAGGCAGAAGCATTCCAGCTACTTCCATTCTATGGACTAGAAGCTCCTTCAGAGCCTCCAACTGTGCATGTCATCATTTATAGTCCTTCTCCCCGGCCTCTGCTCCTAGAGGTCCTGACATGGTAGGCTCTGTGCGTTGGGTTTTACACATGTTGTCCTAGAGAAACACTGGCCTGGCCTCCCAGCAGGATCAGTGTGTGTGCACACATACACACATGCGTGTTTATGTTTGCATGGATGTGCAGCTATTGTGCCCACTAAGCATGTACTGAGCTGTGCTGACAAACCATTTCCTACTTCGGATATAGCCCAGAAAGTTTGAAGAGACAGTGTCCTAGCTGATAGAATAGCCGTCTCCATCAGAGCCTTGCAACTTGATCTAACAGGCCAGCACATATCTTTGAGTGTCTCCCCAGGGAAAAAGAATAAAATGACAAAACAGAACGTGGTAAGTAAGGCCTGACTCCTGACCAGAGACCGAGTTAGAAATCAGTGACCATGAATCACGTAATAGTGGGCTAGAGGATGGATTCTGGAACAAAGTCCAACCATCCTTACTTCGCATTTTGCATCTTTACCTCTTCCAGATGAAATGCACTTTAAGGAAAATGGTAGAAATGTGAGGGTAGAGGACCTGACCATGTGGACAGCCACATCCTAGGGGAAGAGACATGGAGCTAATTGTCAGCATGCTGTGAAGGACAAGAAGGGAAAGCAAGAGAGGAAAAGGCCATGTTTGGGGCTCATTTTGACATTTGTAGGTAAATGCTAAAACATGCATATTGAGAAAGTGAACTATTAGTTTGAGACTCAAACTCCTATATGAAATGTGTCACAATCAAAGAGCCCACACCGTGAAACTGTGAGGGGCAGTTCGGGGAGAGTGGGTAATAAAAACAGGTGCTTATCTTGGAAGCAGGGCTTTAAAGATGTTTCATCTTTTTGCAGGCACCCCTCAGCCCATGAATACTACGATCCCAATGACTACATGGGGGATGTGCATCAGGAGATGGACAGGGAGGAGCTGGAGCTGGAGGTAGGGAGCGTGTCTTTTGTCTCATTTGAGGAGTCTTTACTGAGCACGCAGAGTGTCTCCTAGGTTCTCTACAAGCATAAATGAAGCTGATGGGATTATCAAAAGCAGGAGCCCTTTCAGTCATGCCCTTGGAGAGGCACAATGAACTTTTTCTTCCCTCCCTCCACTCAAAACAAAGCCTAACAACCAGTCCCTGAAGCCAGTCGTTAGAAGATAGGACAGCAAGTCCGGATCTCAGCCTTGAATTCCAAGCAGCATGCATGTTCTTGTAACCTTCCACTTTCCTGTCTTTTATGTTCTCACCACTTTTTACTCAAAGACAAATGCTCAAGAATAGTTTGGATAAATCACTAACACGAATGCATGTAGTGTAGAAAGGGCTTGTCCCCCCCATTCTCATCCTTCAACTTTTCTAACACCCATCTTGAAAAACTAAGCAAATCCATAACTCCCCTTAAACATTATTTAAGGACAAAAAAAAAATACAACTTGGGATTCTAGACACCATATAATGTCAAGCTGCTTTCTGTTGAGTTTTGAAATATTTAACAGACACCAAGGAGCCAACAGAGTTCTACTTCTTATTTTTCCTTTTAATCAAAATAATAGGAAAAACATGCAATTCCATGATGAAGTTATTTTTAGAAAAACATTGTCATGTTTCCATGTGCTTTCAAAAAATACAAGAGCATTTTAGAAAACTGACTTAATCGCACAAAGTAATAGGGCACCTGATGCTGACAGGTAAGCCCTTTGGCAGCCATGAGGTCAGGTCAGCCAGGGGAAATCCAGTAACACTTCACCCAGTGTTATGCCCATTGCTATCTACTCTAAGCAACACTACTGAATGTGATGTAGAGCTTCCTACACTGTGGCAGGACAGCTGAGTAGTAGGACACAGCTGGGTTCTTCCAGCATTCCTGGACAACTACCAAAAGTTCTCATTTCCAAACAGGATGAAGGCCATTGCAAGTGTACAACCAGCATGGAACCGGCTGCTCACCAACAGCCTAATGTGCTCACTAGAGGCACAAATGACTCAGTGACATTTTATTTCAACATTTATGTCTTTCCCTAACTGCATCTGGTCTAAACAGGAATGACAATTATTCTAACACTGGTGATTACTTCTGTGTGTTATCAGCCACCAACCAATAATTACTCCCAGAAATAAAGCCTTGTTCTCCCCCCACACCCCCAAAAATAGAAAAAACAAGCAGATATTAGGGATTGTGCCTCTGAGTTACAGTTACACTCTCCAATCTCTGCAGGTTCAAGACTCACTCAAGAAGCACTTATGACTCCCTCAGGACTCTTGAATGTACCTTCTTCCCCAAGGGGCACCTTGCTGAGATCCATTTGGGAAATGCCAGAGTAGATAAAACCAAAGAAATTTTTTAGGAGATTAGCTAGTATTAATGAAGCACTAAGACCAGCCCAAACAGATTCCTCTTCCTAAAGCAAGGCCCTTTCTCAGCAAGACTACCTGAGAGACTCTTGAGTCAAAATGTTTAAAACAAGTGCCCAGGACCTTGATACTCAAAGTGTGGTGTGAGGCTCAGCAGCCAGTCCTCACTTGGGAGATATAAGAACTACAGGACCTTGACCTCTAGACCTACACAACTGGAACTTATATTTTAACAGGGTACCTGGTGTACCTTACAGTCAAGGAGCCCTGGCGTGGAAGCCATGGGCTCAGATAAGGAAGTCCTAGCCTCCATGTCTCCCTCTGTTCCAGAGTCATACCAGCCATCCTTAGGTTGTGGGTGTCATTCACCACAGCATAGAGATGTACTGCCACATCACTAACACCACCCACCCTGTCCCTGCCGAGGGATGTTGTCAAGGGCTAGAGAAGTATCTGAGGTTCTTGTAGAAAAGCAGCACTACTACTAAGAGTCTTTTCATGAGTAAAAGCAGAGGCAATGAATCCAAAGGTTTAGAAAGCTCGTGACGTATTTCAAACTAGACTTTTGACATCAGAAGACTTTACATCCATGCTTAAGTCCACTTGAGCTTTTCTGAGCATCTGTTACATTGAGTCTACTGTTTGTCACTTAGAAATACAGCACCAGGAAGTCACCACCTTGCCTGCCCTTAAGGAATTCATAAGTCATCAGGACCATAAGAACTTAGCTTTTTGTTTCTTAAACATCTCCAATTCTAGCTCTTTTGACCAGTGATTACAAGGAAGTCCTGGTGGGAAGGTGGTTTCCCACTGCCACTGTGGTCTTTTGCCTATGGTAGCTCAAGTGTCACCTGGTTGTGTCTATTCATGAAACATCTCCTACAGTACACTTGCCAGTTTTGGGAGCAACTGTCTGATGTTGTGAGATAGAAGAGGCTGTGTCGGACTACCTCAAGGCTGCAGTAGGGTAGGGATTGAGTGGGCTCATGCTGGATCCAGTGTGACAGTGTAGAGATGGGGGAACCTTTGAGACATTTAGCCAAGTGGGAGGTAGTTAGGTTTTGGGGGCATTGCCTTGGAAAGGATTAATGTTGGTCTCACAGAGTCCTAAGGAAAGTGAAGCTATCCCCTCCACTGGGACTCTTGCTTTTCTGTCTTGCCTCTCTCCTCCCTGTTCGTACTGTGCTCTTGAACCTCCAAAACCATGAGCTCAGTACACCTCTTTTCAGAATAAAGTACCTAGTTTCTGGTATTCCATTACAGCTACACAGAATGGACTGAAATGCCCAGTCCTCCTAAGGATCACTGCAGCCACCCCCCAGCAGGGAATCCCATCAGTGAACAGTAGCTGTACCTTCAGAGTGTCTTGGAGTTATGTGTATAAAGGGCGTCTCATCAGTTTGAGGAGATTAATACCCCAGTTCTAGGACTAGAGTTTCCTAAAGTGGACCCACTTCTCAGCGAGCCTGGCATACACCTGTCACCCCTGCTTCCCATAGGATTTCTGAGAACGGTCAACAGTCTCTCTTGTTCTAACTGTGGAGTTTGATTGCAGAAGGATCAGGTTTGTTTTCAAGAAGGGGGCGCATTTACTTATTGCCCCAGTTACATTAGAACAAAGCCAGCATTTTGAAAGGAACAGCTAAGTTCCACCAACATTATATGCAAGTAGAATGTATATGAGAGTGTTGGGATATTATTGAAGCCAGTACAGAGAGAAAAACAGATGTTCTCTCTTTTAAAGTACACAGAATGATCATATTTAGGTAAATGTCAGGTCCTTATGATTGCAAAATTGCTTAGAGTTAAAGGGATTACTCTCAAGTATACCCTGAGAGCAAGCAACCAAATAATTACCCATGAATTTTCAGGTACTGAACACCTGCTCTAGGCCTTCCTATAGGCAATTAAGAATGAAAATAGATGTCTGAAGGAGGGCTTTTCCTTCATCTATTCTTTTAATTTCCCCTGTGATTCAACAGTAGCATCCTAGCCATGCTCCAAAGCTGCTGTCACCTATACTGTTTTGATGATGTCATTCTGAGACCAGAATGATAAGGGAAGCTACAGTTTCAACAGGGGGATAAAATGATCTGTAACACTAAGTAGACCAATTAATGGGAATTGGGATTGTCCTGAAGGAAATTCAGGAAGCTCGAGCCCATCTGGAAAGTTCTCATTAGCCTGTAAGGCACCAAGGCTCCTTTAAAGAGCCTGGTCTGCCCTCACTGATTCAGCCTCCTCAGGACTCTTCCAGTACAATCAGAATCTTCACCATTTTTGTAGTCCCTCTTGCACAGCAGGACAGTCACACCTGCTTGCATGGCACTCCCCCTCAGATCTTTGCAGAACTCAGTCCTTCAGAGAAGTTTCCTTGACCACTCCTGTGACAGCAGTGGACAGTGTTATCCATTTGTCTGTCTCCCATGAGAGGCAGGCTCTTCTATTCCTTGTGCCTAAACAGTGCCTGGCATATAGTAGGCACCCAGTATTTAGCTACCTATATCTTGGTTGAAAGAAGGAATGTTTTGTTGCCCTGTCTCAAATTTAAGGTCCTTAAGAGAAAATGCAGTCATTTTAGAGACGTCACCACACCTCATATAACATCTTAAATGGAGGTAGAAATTCTAGAGATAATTTAGAGAAATATATGCAGCAGTCCTGAACCAGTAAAGTGAAGGGTTACACATCCAGGAGCTTCAAATTAGCGTTTGGGATCCCCGAATCCCTTTTCATTAAAACGGCTGGTGCTGTAGCAGAGGCTGAGTTACCAAGATGGAATGGTTCCTCTAATACGCCTAATTGAAAAAGCGTGTCCCTTTCATCTGTAATGCCAGGCTTAGCTGTTCTTTTTATCAAACAGTGCATCTAGACTAGTAAGCAACAGGATACCAGTGATGCGGGTAGCTTTAATCCAGATAATGTTAATACATTATTCATACCGGTTTGATTAATGGTCTTCTGTGAAATCTTATCTCCATCATCACAGACAGATATGTATTGATAACCTCAGTGCTTTCAGCCATAAGCTCGACAGTATAAGGCTGGCGCAGAGGCAGAAAGAAATGTTAGCATTTACAAAGCACCTGGTAAGTTTGAGGAATTTCAGTTTCCACTGAGTCCCCAGATACTGTGTTTTAAAACTGTAGGATGGCTGAGAAGTTTGCTGAAGAGACTTTGCCACCTTGCCCATTAAATGTGGCAGAGCCAAGCCTATTTTCATTTAGATCTTCATTCATCCTTGGAATCTCAAGTTCATTTGTTCAGTCTTATTGAACACCTACTGTGCACAAGATTTGAGGCTAGACACTGTGTTTACTGCACAATTCATTTTTCTACTACTAATGCCTCCTGTGATTCCAGCCAAGGTAAACCATGAATCTGGATAGATCCAAAGACAACAGCAGCTCTTCCATTTCTGTTTCTCAAGAGCTTCTGGAAATTTCACTCTGTGCTTCAACCACTATTGCCAGCCTCTCCTCTGGTGTGAATACCACCCAGAGACACTGAACACCCAGGGCTAAGTTGTGTCCTATGCCTTCTAAATGGTTTTCTGGCTTTCGTTTAGAGTCTATAAGAAGGTCCAGATAAGGCAAAGAAATGTAGCTCACACCATCCCATCCCAACATCAGTGTCAAGTACTTTCCTAAACTCCAGAGCACTCTTTGCTTATTATTTGATTATATGCTTTGCCAGCATTGGTTTCTTCAATACCACTCATCCCTGTAAAACACAGACCACTTCCAAGATGGCCACCCATTCCCAGGGTACTCCACTTAAACCAGAATGGCACTGCCGTTCTTAGGTCTGTTTTAAAGATCAGTTCCTAAAGTTTTGCTTCACAACGAACTAGAATTGGGGGAAGAGTAGAAGAGCAAAGCTTTGACATACTCAGGGCAAGTTTTTCTACTTAAAGTCAGTACTTCCTTCACCCTTCCCTTATGCATGATCTGTGTCTCACACCAGAGCCAGGCCTGGCTGGACCACTTGCCCATGTGAAGGATGGAATTTTCCCTTTGCAATATTTAAATCAAATACAACCAAACTGAGAATATGATATGACAGCCTTTCCCGGGAGAATCTGTGACAGAAGTCAGAGGCTAAATGCATTGTTGGTGCACACCCCATTCTGGAGGGGCCTTCGAAAACCATGTCTATCAGGGAGAAACCTTAGTAGTGGAACCGTCTTCTCTCATATGCAAAAGCATCAGGCAGTTAGCATTTATAGAGAATATATTACAATTATGATTGTGACCAAAAGAGCTTTCAATTTTGGCATATTTGCACATACGTAATGAAGTACCTGGGGGCTGAACGTGAAATTCACTTATGTTTCATATGTGCTTTATACACATAGCCCAAATGTAAATATGTATAATAGTGCACCTATGTTGTGAGATACACCTAGCACATGAGGTCTGTAAGGACTTTCCAGTTGTGGAATTATGTAAGCACTCAAAAAATTTGCAGATTTTGGAGCATTTTAGGTTAGGGATGCTCAACCTGTACTAGTTGCCAACCACATGTAGGGTTGGCGACAGACAGCACATAAATTAAGTAAGGATGCTGAGTGGTCATTGATTTAACTATCAGCAATTCTGGTGAAAATATTTCAAATTGTTCATCACATGACTAATCTATTTGTGGTAAGAAAATTGATTATGTCAAAGGATTCAGGAACAGTGTACCTTCCACCCTCCTGGTTGGCAAGCAGACACATAAAATTCAGAGCAAAGAATTGCCTGGCTAAGTTTCCATGAGATGGATCTTCAAATAGGCTCATAGTTTATGGCTACAGAACCATGCACAAGTCATTGGAAGAGTGGGTGGCTGCTGACTTGGCCTGTTAACACTTTCAGGAGCTCACAGTGTCCTCCAAAAGCTCCCATGGTTTTCAAAGTTGTGACTTCATTCTGAAGTGCAGACTAATTGGCAACACAATAGCACTCCCTGTCCTCGTGTGTCCCATATTTGGGCTCACTTTGCTTTTTCTTACTTAATCTGCACTAACAGCGGCTGAAACTAATTTCTCGACTGTAAATATCACAGCTGTTGTGGAAAACATTAATTGCACACTATCACATTACTCTCCTTTCTTGGATCAATTTATGCGTAATCTGCTTGCAAGTTCTATGACTGAATATTAAGGGAACGCAATGTGAAATAACCTCACCAAACACACTGGAAACATTTGTACTGAAATAGCTAGATGGCTGGGGATCTGGAAACATTATCGTTCATGGCAGACACTGAAAGAATGCTTTTTAAAAGCTCTACCCCTGAGGTCCTGACGCTGAGTAAAATATGGGTAATTTTTCTTTGGGAGAATCAATAAAATAACTATTTTCAAAATGACTTTATATTGACTGAAAGGTCAGAAATGCCCCGAGCATTGATCCTGTGTCCATAATCACTTTTTGTTCAGTAAGTTAACCGGCTCTACACAGTCGAATGCAAGGAAACCCAGTTCATCATTTAAACAAAATATTTTCCAAGCATTTGACATCCTCCCAGCTCTCACTGCCTGCCGGAGTCTCACCAGGAATGTTTTCTTTGTCTAGGAGGTGGACCTCTACAGAATGAACAGCCAGGACAAGCTGGGCCTCACTGTGTGCTACCGGACAGACGACGAGGATGACATTGGAATTTATATCAGTGAGGTACAAATGCTAATTTTTAAAAAATTACAACATCAAGCCTGAAACCCTAACTCTAGCTCCTGTGGAAATCTTTGGGAAGACAAAGACAAATGACTTGTCCTCTTCAATACATCCGCGGAACTGCATCTTTACACGGGGTTAAGTTCTAATGTCAGCACATACAGCAAAATTACCCTTGAAACCGCAAACCAACCATAAAATGGGGCCGTTTACATGGTTTTGTGTGTTCAGCCCTGAGGGAACAGCAAAGTAACATTTCCTAACTCGTGGTCATTGAGTGGAATGGTAGACGGAATCACACTTTTAAATCCCTCTCTCTTCCTTTTGGCAGACTACATATCATTCAGTTCATACAAGTTAAAAGTCATTTATATGTACTGATCAGAATACATTCATGAAAGCTGTTTTAATCTTCACAGAAAAGGCAGTCAAAGCAACTGATTTCAATACAGCCACTCTACAGTAGTACATGCCTTCCTGGCGAGCACAGAAACCCTGTTCATCAGGAAATAACATTCCTCTCTCCGGGCTGGACCAAGAGCTATGTCTGCTACACTTAATGACTATCCACAGATATCCCACACCTACCCAGCTTTGCATTTTGCATTATTACATTTTAGCACATCCCTTCCATACTTATTCCCACTTGCCTCAATTAGACTTTCTGTCTGAAGTTATTCCCCAAAACTTAATATAGGCAGTTGGTAATCAAAGTAGGGTTACTGGTCAACATAATGAAGGGTACCCTTTAACCTGTTCTGCATTACTGATTTCATTTTAATTACTACGTGTGCAACAGGAGTCAGCTCTGCCTCCTCCCCGCTCCCTGCCAAGCTCTGCAGAGCTTGCATGACGCTGTATAATAGGGCTGCCGGGTGGGGAGCTAACAGCAGGCCCTTGAAAGGGCTTGGAAGCAGATTGGTCCATGTTTGTCTCCCCATGCACGAACCCTAAGTCTTGTTTATGTCTGTGCGAAACAGAAAGATAGGGATGGCCTCTTTGGAAAGCACTCTTGTTTCTTTTCATGCATGTCTGAGGTCATGCTGAGATGTCTGCTGTGTGTTTCAGATTGACCCTAACAGCATCGCAGCCAAGGATGGGCGCATTCGAGAAGGAGACCGAATCATCCAGGTAGGTCCAACCAGTGGTCTCTTGGTGTGCCTGTCACCAAAAGGATTCAAATAATAGTTCAGATGGAAATTCAGGAGAGGTTTAAGAAACCAGGGACCACAAACTGTGATGTATAGTGAGGAGCAAGTTAAGTAAAAGAGTGAGCAAATGGAGGGAGGGGAATAAAGGAGAATGGTGGAGGGGGTGAATTCAACTATGATATATTTTTATAAATGTACTCCCAGTACAATAATAATAAAAGAGTGAACCAAACTGGGAAAGCAGATGCCAAAGGTGTGGTGAGGACAGAGAGGCTGCCCCATCTAAAGAGGACCCAGTGGGACACAGACCAGTGCCCCAGCATCACTGAAATCAGACTAACAGTTTGCAGCTTATGAACCAGGATGAGTCTCACCTTAGGTGTCTTTGAAAGATTAATTTTGGACCGAGCACTTCAAGGTGGCTCTTGTCTTGACAAATTTAGCAAAACTGATTGAGACATCTTCCATTTCAGGACTCAACATTTCACAGTACTGTCGGCACATCTTGGGGCGGCAGCTCTACCTTGTAACCTACTGTTCCTTTTAGGTCCCATGAGACCATTTATTTCTCTTGCAGTCTTTTTTAATATCAGAAATTGAGATTCTAGGTTTCATTATGTTCCACTCACAAGAATTAGCTTTCTGCCTCTTTTCAGTATATCTTATTTCTAATCCACTGGGTTTCTTTTGCTCATTACATACACACCATGTAAATTTCTTTCTGCTTCCCCAGTCTTTAGCCACAACCTCAATTGCTGAGGCTTCTTCCCTAGGAAAGGGACCTCCACTACCAAAGAGTCAGAATCCCCAGCACACCTCCTTTTCTAGGTTGCTACAGTTTTCTATTAACCTTGACCCCTGAGAAGGAAGGAGGAAGAGGAGCCCCATTTCCCCCTGGGTATTTCAGGGTTGGTCACGCCATCCAGTGAAATCTCCCCTTTTGCTACCTCTTGGTGCCTTGGCATGAGGTGGTGAAGAGGTGAGAGCCTTGCTTCCCCAAGTGGAACCATTGTGATGTTACTTGGAGGAACAGCACCCCTGGGGCTAAGACATGCAAGCAGAAATCCCAGCAAAAGCTTGTCAAGAGTCACACCCTGAAGTGTCAAGCAGGACACAGAACACCACATGTAATTCCATTCCCGTCTCTGCTCTCCACCTCCCTAACATTTTCAGACCCACTGCTGCCTTTTCTCCCATATCAGTAATGATTCTTCCCTATGCTCCACTTATCCTCCTGCCTAAATGTGGGGTCAGGTTAAAGTGCTCAGTTGTGCCCTCTACACAGCAGAACTTTTTAATCAAGTCAACTTCTAGATTCTTCCACATCATAGTTGCCCCATTTGTTACACCTGTGGATGCTCTGTCATAGCGCAGAGAAGCTGCAAGGTCTTTCCTTCCCCAAGCAACCCGGAAGGTCCATGTTCCAACTGTGAGTGGGTAACAAACGCAGACCTAAAATAAGACAGAATGCTTTTGGACGATCTAATCACGCAATTGTCTACTCATACCCATGTTGTTTTTAGATTAACGGGATAGAAGTACAGAACCGGGAAGAGGCCGTGGCTCTTCTGACCAGTGAAGAAAACAAGAATTTTTCATTGTTGATTGCAAGGCCTGAGCTCCAGGTGAGTCAGCTTCCTGCAGATGAAACCGGGTTTGTATTTATTTCGAAACCAAAACTCCCATCTTTCAGAACAGTGCCCGGTTTGGAGTCAGAGCTTGAAGGTGCTTCGCACCCTGGGAGGGTAATTGAACTTCCTGTGGTTTAGAATGTATTTTATGATTTACCTATTTGAGGCTGCTGACACGCCCCCTTCATTCTACAGTGTGTGCACAGCATGCTCAGTAAAGTAGGGACCTTAAGTTGTCTGATGTCCCCAGGCCTGACAAATGCACCAGCCTGGATCTGTGCATACCCCATTTACAGAGTGTGGGGAAATAGGTCTTCCAAAAAGGAAAGAAACATTGATTGATAGATATGAATGGACGTTCAGTGATCACGTCATCATTGTCCAGTCCTGCACAGAGCACACTTCCTATCAGTCAGCCTTTCTGGGACACTGATGTTCTTGGGGTTCTAACATTAACCAGAGAATGTAGATTCTGAGTGACAGGTTTCAGAGGAATTCAGGCCCAAGTAAGCTGATCCAGAAACCCCCTCCTTCCACAGAAGCCATTGTGAATGTGGACCTGGTGGTGGCTCTCTTCACTTACTACTGATAGTCGCTCAAAAAGTGGGCAGTACCCTGGCAAAACAGTCCAGGGGCAGTGACATAGAGGGTGTCTGATTTAATGCAGATGGCAGCGTCACAACCTTGTAATCACCCAAAATCACGTAACTTTTTCTTAAAGGCCAGATAATATTTATTTGACTTGGGTGGCCATATAATCTCCATGGCAATTGCTACAGTCTGCCATCGAAGCCTCAAAGCAGCCATCGAGGATGCATAACAAACGGTCATGGTTGTGTTCCATTTAATCTTTTCATTAAGAAAACAAAAACAGATGGTGGGACTGTGAATTATAGATGACCAACTCCCATGCTCTTCTAAAAGGAAAAAGGATAAAGGCGCAATGATAATCCCTGCCCACACCAACCAGCGACAAAGAACCCTTTCCAAATTATCAGTAAACTTACACAGGTGCCAGTCAGCACGAGGCATGGCTCCATGCACCTAACCCTCCTACAGTGGCCTTCTTTACCAAAAGTACCTGGTGTACATGAAAAACGTGCCACCCTGATAAAAAATAAATAAAAGTGAGCACTGGAGCCTTCCCAGGTATGGTATAGGATCAGAGTCTCTTCTGTGTAAGGACTGTCTGTGTGAGGATGCGGTAGTTTTGCAGGCATCTTGCTTTTTGATGACTCCTGGAGGGAGCCCCAGAAATGTCTTTCCTTGAGAGAGAGAAAATCCTTAAGGCACTGTTGGTCACTTTTGTCCCCAGCTGGATGAAGGTTGGATGGATGATGACAGGAACGACTTTCTGGATGAGCTGCACATGGACATGCTGGAGGAGCAGCACCACCAGGCCATGCAGTTCACAGCTAGCGTGTTCCAGCAGGTAACACCCCTGAAGTCCCCACCCCCCAACAAACAGAGCGTCAGGAAAACAGCTCCCTTCAAGATGCTAAGGACTATCAGAAACCCACTCCCCTTGAAGATGGCAGGAGAGCCTCTTAAGTGCTTTTCTGTTTGCAAGAGGGAAATGCAAGCTGGTATGCTCTCTGACCCAGCTTTTAAGGCTGAGCAATAATGGCAAGGCACGTGACCTTCTGATATTAGGAAAACGTGCTCTTGTTCACACAGAACATTAAACAACTCCCTGTGTTTAACCTGAGTTGTCCAGAACCCTCCAGCTCTGTCCTATGCTACTGCCAGACTCAGAGCCACAACTACTCGCTTGTTAAGTCCCTTATAAGTAAGCTCTTATGCTTCCTATCCACAGTGAGTCATTTAAGAGTTAGACCCACTCATTGAGATAGATACATACTATTGTCCCCATTTTACAGATGAGAACGAGGGTGAGTGGCCTAGACACAGGGAGGGAGGGCTGGCCAATTCTTAGGTGCCTGACCAAGTCCTAATATGAGATGCTAGACAAACACAGCCTGCCCACTCTGAAACATTTGCCCTGCAGAGAAAGGCAAGAGGAGGCTCCTGCTCCTTAGGCTGCCCTCACCATGACCGCTTGTTCTTTTTGCACTTTGTGTAGAAGAAGCACGAGGAAGATGGAGGGACCACAGACACAGCCACCATCTTGTCCAACCAGCACGAGAAGGACAGTGGTGTGGGGCGGACCGACGAGAGCACCCGCAATGACGAGAGCTCAGAGCAGGAGAACAACGGTGACGACGCCACAGCCTCCTCTAACCCGCTGGCGGGCCAGAGGAAGCTCACCTGCAGCCAGGACACCCTGGGCAGTGGCGACCTGCCCTTCAGCAACGAGTCCTTCATCTCGGCCGACTGCACGGACATGGACTACCTGGGCATCCCCGTGGACGAGTGCGAGCGCTTCCGCGAGCTGCTGGAGCTCAAGTGCGAGGTGAAGAGCGCCAGCCCCTACAGCCTGTACTACCCCAGCAGCCCCCTGGACGCGGGCAAGAGCGACCCGGAGAGCGTGGACAAGGAGCTGGAGCTGCTCAACGAGGAGCTGCGCAGCATCGAGCTGGAGTGCCTGAGCATCGTGCGCGCGCACAAGATGCAGCAGCTCAAGGAGCAGTGTCGCGAGGCCTGGGTGCTGCACCCCAGCGCCTTCCGCAACTACGCGGCGGCCATGGACGTGCGCCGCCACGAGCTCTCGGACATCACCGAGCTGCCCGAGAAGTCCGACAAGGATAGCTCGAGCGCCTACAACACGGGCGAGAGCTGCCGCAGCACCCCGCTCACGCTGGAGATCTCCCCGGACAACTCGCTCCGGAGGGTGGCCGAGGGTGGGCCGTCCCCCAAGAACCTGCTGGCCATCACCGAAGACCCCGAGGTCGCCCCCCCAAGCTACAGCCCTGGGGCCAAGGAGCTGGACCCCAGCCAGGCCCTGGAGAGCAAGGAGCGCCGCGCCAGCGAGGGCAGCCGCAGCCCCACGGGCAGCCCCAAGCTGGGCGCCTACCTGGCATACCCGCACTCGCCCTACAAACACGCGCACATCCCGGCCCACGCACAGCACTACCAGAGCTACATGCAGCTCATCCAGCAGAAGTCGGCCGTGGAGTACGCGCAGAGCCAGATGAGCCTGGTGAGCATGTGCAAGGACCTCAGCTCCTCCAGCGCCGCGGAACCCAGGATGGAGTGGAAGGTGAAGATCCGCAGCGACGGCACGCGCTACATCACCAAGAGGCCCGTGCGCGACCGCCTGCTGCGCGAGCGCGCGCTCAAGATCCGCGAGGAGCGCAGCGGCATGACCACGGACGACGATGCCGTGAGCGAGATGAAGATGGGGCGCTACTGGAGCAAGGAGGAGCGCAAGCAGCACCTGGTCAAGGCCAAGGAGCAGAGGCGCAGGCGCGAGTTCATGATGCAGAGCCGGCTGGATTGTCTGAAGGAGCAGCAAGGCGCCGACGAGCGCAAGGAAATGAATATCCTGGAACTGAGCCACAAGAAGATGATGAAGAAGAGGAACAAAAAGATCTTTGATAACTGGATGACCATCCAGGAACTCTTAACACACGGCACAAAATCTCCCGACGGCACTAGAGTATACAATTCCTTCTTGTCGGTGACGACTGTATAATTTTCACTTGTGCGCTATGTACATAAGAGAGACCACTACCGTTGGGGTAGAGATTCCTGCCTCGTTCAATGCGGCAAGTTTTTGTATATAAGATAAACACGGCCATCATGTTTATAGTCCAAATTTGCCATCCCTCCAACTTTGGGTGTCGTAGCTCTGTGTTAAGTGGAGGTAAAACACACCCTTACTGTTTTGGAAGGCAATATGAAACAGCTTTTTTTCAAACAGCAACGGTACTTTTTTACTTGCTACCTTTTACATAAAGTGTTTAAATTTCAAAAAGATCTTTTACTAAGCATACTTTCACAGAATAATTTGTTTAAACTATATTCATATAAAAAAAAAGTTAAACACGCTTTTTTTCCTGCCTAAAACACAAATACAACGTCCACTATGTATTTTTAACGCAACTCTATTTTATAATGTTACTTTGCTGAATGTGTTTCATACCTTGTGATCTTTAATATATGACGTGGGTCAAGGTTCAACTCAAAACCAACAAACTCTGTGGCTAACAATTTAATACACATAACCAAACCAGCAGTGTTTAGAGTTGGAAGATACAGTAGAACATTTTTTCTGGTTAAGGTTCCCAAGAGAGTGTAACAGTTTTAACAGAAAGCAAAATTCCATGCAGCTTTAGGGAAGTTTAAAGCATGTTTGCAAAGTTGCGGCCTGTGGGAAAATTTTGCATGTACAGGAAAGTGTCAGATGGAGTCAGTTTGTGGAATTTTAAGTGCTCATTGTAGTAAGCCTTTGCTTTGTAGATTTGAAGGCACAGACTTATCCAGGCAAGTTCATGAAATCACGATTAGTTACAAACAAACATTAAGTAAAAATGAAGTTAAAATAAATTATTATTTTCTATTTGATATGTTTTGATGTGATTCCTCATTTTGCCGTGGTACTTATAAAATAAAAGCCTTTTGCAGTGTTGAATTTCTTCCTTGGTTGTATTACCTGTTACCTCGAAAGTATTTAAATCTTTCAGACCATCTGATTCCTTCAACCCAGTAACAGATGTAAAACCAAGTTCTACCAGCAGAGAATAAGGAATCCAATACAGCATGTGAGCTTGTATTCTGACAGCCAACTCAGAAGGCTTCAGCCTGGCTCGGTATCCTATAAATAAGAATGGTAATGAGCAAGTTTATCAGTCAAGGTCATGTGTCTTTGGTTTATTGCAGAGATCACTGGTGGTCAGTAGTAACTAGCAACTCTGAATGGCTGGATCTAGCTTTCCATTTCTGTGACATGCCTGCAAATAAGATGATGTTTGCATAGAATTATGGGGGTCACCAAATGGATGGGCTTCAAGCCTGGTCTCTTTCAGGCTACCACACTCACCAGATTCCTAAGTGAAGAATTTGCTACAAAACATTCCCTAATTACACTGTTTACACCAATTTCAGCTATGATACCTACTGAAAAATGACAATAAAGATAAGATTAGGAAGGTTCTCATTTTCACTTGCCATGATGCCAGACATCTGGTTGACTCACTGATTTAATTGAAATTTTGATTGAAATGGCAAGGTATTTTCAACGTCTCAGACATCAGTTTCTTCCCACAGACCTGTGGAACCCAGATTCCTCTTTTGGTCCCAGCATCATAAGACTAATGACTAATTACACTTGTAATAAAATAACTTAATGAAAATAAAACACTGAGATGCTTATTCCTCTCTATTAAGATCTCTCTTCATTACCTCTCACAGAAGCAGGCACTGCTCATTACATCTGCATAATTCTAATCAACTCTCTAAGGTGAAGTTTGTGCAGAGAGGACTATTAGGGCCATGGTGTCACAGTAGTCTCCAAATTCAAATTCTGAGACACAATTGAATCCTCAACTCCTAAAAGAAGCTTCCCATCCCCAGCACTCTTGCCTAGAAATACTCTTGCTGTCTTTCTAGTTAATGTTGGACAGAGAACACGACCAGTCAGATGAGTATAAACTGCTATAAGGCATATAGAAGCCTTGTTCTGTGGGGAGATAACTTTCCTCCCTTTGTGTGTTCTCAAGGCAACATGGCCGCCAGAACACAGAGCATCAACCTAAACAGTTGTGAGGTACCAGAATCAAGGAGGGACTTCTGATCTGGGCTCCCTGAGTGCCTGTGGTCTCAGGGGTCAACCTGAGAGGTAGACAGATGTAGCATTCAAACATTCAAATTCAATTCTAGATCCTTTGATTCCAACTTATTTTTCAAATCACTTCATCACCTATCTACCTGTGGTTCATTCTAAGTTGCAATGTAATCTGAGATTTCTCAATAGCAAGTCAGCTTTTAAAAAGTTAGAAGAGACCTAAGAAAATCACTCTTGTCAATTAGCAGAAGATTGGAGAAGGCAGAGAAATGCAAAGCTCCTCATTAATAACCAACCTGGGCCTGGAATTTGGAACCAACACTTGGCGCACACATCTCTTATCCATCAGCCCATTCACACAGGAGAGGTAGTGCTCATGGACAGTCAACTTCAGTGTCTTCAGTCCTGTGCCCTCAACCAAACATACGTGCTTTCACCAATGAATGCCTCAGACAGAGCATAGGCCAGAAACATGAATCTGCCATTTCTTCCACAAGCCTGTGCTCCCAAGTGTCCATACTGCAAGCATTTCTGAGCTGGTGATGGAGTTGACGGACTTTCCTAGCTAATGGTGAGGAGGTAATTTGTAGCTTCAAAAGCCATTAAGGTACAACCCTATATTCTTTGTGGTATAGCATCTACTGTCACCTGCAGGCCTTTCTACAAACCCTGCTGCCAGTATTTTATTTGTTAGGCCTAGTTAAGAATGTCATGAAAGCTATGGATTCTCTCTGCAGACAAAAAATATACTGATAATATGTAACACATAAGTTATGTATAATTTAGGAGGCTTCACACACACCCCAAAGTCCACTCATGGACTCTTTCTACTTGTAACAACTCCAAGTTTAGACCAACTAAATGTGATACCTTTGTGGGTTTATCTCCCAAACTTTTGCAGGTTGCATTTTATAGCACTATTTGATTTGAGTGCCCACTTTTAATATCAAAGAATATGTTTTTCTTATTAGAACTATTGTTTGAGGTTATTAAAAGTCAACTGGTCACTAATACCTATCATCTTGCAGGCATTGTGCCAATGGTTTTGCTCACAGCTAAACAGATTCACAAAATACGAGTGTAGATTCTCAAGTCTCTACAGCAGCCACTCTACTGGCTGGATGACTCTGGTTTAAACTATTTCTAGACTACAAAGGGAAGAAATGAGACGTGACTGTCTAGAGCTACACTGTCCATTGTAGTAGCCCCTGGTCACATCTGGCCTTAAACACTTAAATATGGTTAGTCCAACATGGGCTTGACACCTGGCACAACAAAGAAATGAAAACTGGTTAGTCTAAATAGAAATAGTCTGGAAAAAAAAAACAGATTTCAAAGACTTCATTTTTAAAAATAATACAAAATATTGCAGTAATTTTCTACACATTGAAATGTTTTGCATACGTTGGGTTAAATTCTTAATTTTAATTTTTTTACTTTGTAACTTAGATACTAGAAAAATTTCATACACAGCTCACATTGTACTTCTCTTGAGAGGCACAGATATAGATGGTAACACTTAACCGCATCACCTTTCCAGTTCCTGTTCAATTCTTCAAGGCCAGAGGCTCCATCAACAATGTAGACTTTGCATTGTTTGCATAAGAACTTTGCCCAACTAATGCAGAGATGTGATTTGAACCTGCAGCATGCAAAGCCAAACTTCTCCCTCTCACCACTGGTCCTCCACCCTCTCCTCAAGAAGCAATCCCAGTATTTGTAACACTCATGATTAGACTAAAAGAAATTGCTTCAGAGTGACAGGCATTGCACTGAGTGCCCTTCAAGTTCTAAATCAACCATATTCTAACTCCCCTGACAAAAGCATGCGACACTGTGTTCAAATAGCAACATGGGGCACAAATTCAGCTTTTTATCTTCCAAATGAAAACAGGAGATCCCAAGCAGCAAGAACCACAAACATGAGGTGGGGGGACTGCGTGTCACCTGTGAAATACTGCTTGGAGGGCAAAGGAGGATTAAGAACTTAAGAAAATTTACCAAATAATCATCGACTTCCAGCCTTCACAAGTAGGTTACAGGGTACTGGTTAGCAAAATTGCCCAGAACCAAGAAAGCGAAGCCAGCTCTGCCTTAAGCAATTGCAACTCCCACTTTTGTTTCTCAATTGTTTTAGCATTTGAGGATTTCTATGCCACATCCACTAATTAAAAAGACATCGCTAAAAAACGAGGTAAGATGCAAGAATTCTCCCAGCAAATGCTGAAGTCTTTGCTTTTGATTAAATGTGCGTTCCCTTAAGTGATTATAGAACAGAGTGTGGTTATTGGGGTTTCGTTCAGGTAGGTTTTTCTGTTTAAATGACCCATTTTTCTTTAGCTTCCACTTGCAACTTATCCTGAAAGGTCACAGTTTGTGTGGACCTGTGATTTGCCTGGAACATGGTTCCCTGTCCAGTGGTAGAAGGCTGACTTCAGTGCACCCAGCATCACTCAAAAATGAAAAATGGTGCTACTGCAGATTTAAACTTGCTCACCAGAGTTGCTAAAACCCTCAAACACCAAATAGCACTCCCTAGACCTCATCAAAGTTTCTCAAAAATAAACCAAGTGTAAACTGTGTGTGTTTAGACCTCTTTTCTTCAGGTGCTGTCCCCGGTGGGACAGGTTTAATGTGGTTCTAAGGAATCTTGGCCACCCCTGTGCTAGCAGGAGCTATGTCAGAAGCCAGAAGATTCCTCCAGCAAGGAGTTCCCATGTGCACACTTGGCTTCGAGCATTGGAGACTTTTCCCAAAGCTTAAAGTCTAGTGGGAAAGAAAACAGTAACACAATCATCACACAAATGCTTATAAAATGCCAACAAGATTGATGTGGGGACAGTCAGAGGGCCAAAGTCACAGATCAGAGAGAGTCTCCTGAAATATTTATGGCTGAGTTGAGGTAAACGGGAATTAACTAGACAAAGACAACGGGTATATTCCGTGCAGAGGAACAGCATATACAAAGGTCCTGAGGTAGAAAAGACATGAGTTATTGGAACCAGAAAAAGGCAGTCAATATGACTTGATATCAGAAGGCAATGAAGGAAAGAAGAGAGAGGATTTTGTGTAAAATGAGGGGGCATGTTGGACGGAGCAAAGTCTCTACTTGACCATAAATACCCATTTGATACAGCCAGCACTTATTGAGCACCTAATATGTACTAGAAATTATGCTAACTGTCCTGTATGCAGTAACCCCCTTCACCATAAAGAGTGGGATATTATCCTTATATAGCCTCTCTCTAAACAAAGAAGGCATAGAGAAGTAACCAACTGGCATGGAGCTGGGGCGTGGGAAGTGATGCCACTTGTTTCTGATCCCTCTTAATCACTGTGCAGGGAGGCAGCCTCTCCAAGATAGGGGTGTGAGGAGGGAACTTATGGATTCCCACCCTGTGTGAGGCTCCGATTTTCAGCAGAGGCCTTCTGGCAGGTAACAGGGCGACCATGTTGTGCTCTGCCTTTTTCCATCTCTGTGCTAAATCTCTTTATAACCAGGTTGCTGCCTGCTTCTAAGCCCCAGGAGACATCAGACTGAGCAAGCTTCAAGTGGGTTGTGCTGCACAAAGTCAGCCAAGCAGACCACTGGAAAATCCTTCTGCCCCATCCAGGACTGTGTTCTCCATGAAACACAGCTCAACAGCATAGAAGCCCACCTCACCCCCTCCTCCCCAGCCCAGGCTCTCCCTGCCATCTCTTATGCTGCCCCAGAGACCTGTTCTGATAAGGTGACCCACTGAATGCATAATGAAAGAACCAATTTAAGTGCCTTTAGTGCCACACACCGTCTGATTGTCTACCCTGGAACACGTCTCCTGAATAGTGCCTTGCTGTGTACAGTA